GTGTGACTCGTCGCGTTTAGATATCGTCCGGCGTGGCCGATCCGTCGGACGGATCGCTTCCGCTTCCCTTTAAGAAACAAACGAGCGTTCGTCGGTTTGTTACGCGTCCGGGGTGAACCTTCGAGGGTGAAAGTGCAGGAGACGGCTGCACGATTCTTCGTTCTCCTCGCACGCGTGTGCCGAAGTCTCGGGCCGCCGCAGCCAGGCAGCCCGCGAACACTGAAATTTTCTCCGGAGTTCCACGCGTCGCGGAACGTTCTTCGAAATAAAAGAACTCTCGAAACGAAGGATCTTGTCGCCGACTGCACTCGAGAAACTCTACGCTATCGTCGAGGAATATTTCGTTCGGCAACGATTGACGCTGAAAACAGAACGTGAAAGGACATTGTATCGGGCTGCGGATTTTTAGGCAGATTTGTTGAACTCCTTGTCTTATGATCCACTTTCTTAATGATCCACTAAAATCTAGGAAATCTATGTTCCAGTCACACATTTTATTCCCGTTAAATTCCATTCGAAACTTGTATCACTCGCGATTACGAGACAAGGGGTTGACGAGAGGAGTAACTATGAAAGTGGAAGCCCGAAGATAAACGTTGCGCCAGATGAGGAATGTTAAGTCCGTGTTCGTTACTCGTTAGAATCTATATACCGTTGGGCTTTGTTCCGTAGCATTTTCTACAAGTGCCGAAAGATCCGCGACCCCCGAACTTCACGATTTCTGTTCGGTTGTCTTAGCGTTAGTAATTAATCGTAAGAAACCCGTCAGCGATTAATCACACGAGAAACCCTTTCGCGGTTCTCTCGAGTCCGAACCACTTCGCCGGTTAAATATTCCGAAGCGGCATCGTGGATTCTCCGTTCCCCGCGGTTCACCCCGCTGCGTCAGCGGAAAAAAAACGGTCGACGAGCGAGACGGCGCGTATTTAATAATCAGCAATAACGCGAGGGTGAAGCGTAACGACCGCGCGCGGCGAAACTATTCTAAAATAAAGCGAGAGCAGATTAATTGTTCTTCGGACGACACGTAGTGCCGCGAGCGAGCGAGGGTGGGAATCAAAGGCGAGCGCACAACGCGCTCGCCGCCTCGGTACACCGGAAGCGAGACGCGCGCTCGCGCGATACCACTCGCGGAACACGTGGATCTTTCGTTTCATTCTTTTCCCGGGAGGCAGCTACGCGGCGTTGATTGAAAGAAGAAGGAAGACCGGAAGATGCGTTTCGTTCGGAGCGAAGCCCTCGGGATTGAACTCTCGCGCGCGCGTTTAGATTTGTTGTTTCTCGGGAGTGACGTTGTGTAAATATAGGAGAGCAAACGGAGATTAGCGACGTGTAGGAGTACTGTACGGTGGAGCCTCGATTATCCGAATCGATCGTGCGACCAGCGGTTCGGATAAACGGAGAACGTTTAGCTTCGGGTGCAATCTAAGTGATTATCGAGCTCGTGGGTGGACACTTGAACGATCCTGATCGTAGAAGCTCGGTTAATCGAGGTCCAATTGTATAAATATATATATTATATATATACATATACATTGACACACACATACGAAAATACACATATACATGAATATGTATACATATGTACATGACCGCGAGACTTCGATCCCAAGGGCCAGCGAGATATCCCGAGATCTCGCGTGAGTGTCGCCGTTCCACTCCCTCCAGTTTCCTCCATAATTCTGTTATATATTTCGTTAAATAAAAGTTACTGTAATATTTCTAAGGTCGCTTGTCAACTTCACGCCAGTCCCGATCGATCTACCTCCGGGCGCGTTCGATCGCCATCTTGTCGCTCAGGCCGTTCACGCACGACGCGACTCGAGAGGCGATCGAATTCTTTCGTTCCTCTTCTCGGTTTTCTTTTTTTTGCAGAACGACGAGGAGACGACGAGCGTTGTGTAGGCGACGAAGAGGAGGTGATTTAGGTGAGAGTTTATCGGTCGGTTAATCTTTCGCCTTATAACGTCGAGATTGAGACGTGGCCAGGATTCATTGCTGCATTTAATGGGTGCGAATATTCAGTTCGCGTGGATCAGAGTTTCGTTTCTCGTTTGCGAACGGTTATTTCGGGGATCTGTTGGTTCGTGGGATGAGGGTGCGAGCCGTTTTTTGCTTGGGGAATCGGTAGCAATGAAGTAGCTTTTATTTGTCGAACAGAATCGTAAGGCGAGGGGTTAACGACGGTTCCACGACATTAAGGAGATTTACTAGCGACTGTAAGTTGTTTGTGATCCTCCGTTCTTAATGTGCAAGCGGGGTATAATCGAGTGGAGGATATACACCGGGTGTCGAAGGAATCAAAGTGCAATCGGCAATGTTCGAAGGTTTCATGAGAAAATAAATGTACAGAGGAATTTCTTAATTTTATAAAGAAACCGTTCTCAATGGTGCAATTTCAGAACTTCGAGTTACCGTTTGCAAGAGCAATTATTTTCCACAGTGGCAAGGGATTTCTGGAACACCTTGTGTATGTTTGGTAAACGCTACAACCCTTCAGGAAACGAATTCGATTCCAGCAATAAATGAAACCGTACGACGTGCTTGCCTCTTTGTGTTCCGATATGAAATCCCTGCGAAAGGTTCACGCTCTAGTAGGATTCCTTGCTATCTGCACCCCATCTCGATTACGTCACCCATCTCCCCTCCCCACGCTATGAAAATCAGATCCAACTATGATACCCTCCTCCCTCTTTCAGATATCCTGAAGCTTCCGTCCCGAAACTGCTCTAAAAAGAGAAAGTTGGCTGTGCGAACAGGTAAAAAGGAAATTGAACTTATTAATTATATCGTTTATTCTTACTCATCGTTACTCGATTTATCTATGTTTCATGATCTATTCTCTAATCTGCCCCAATTTCCAGTTTCCACCAGCAGCACAAAAATATCCCATTCCCATTTAAACTTACATTGATCGATACGCCATTACAAATTCCAACGAAACTAAAACGAGGAGCGAGCTCGCATAGTTCCCGCGACCAACGCTAAATCACCGATCTCGACGGTTTCGTAATTGCAGCGTTGTCACACAGCGATACCAAGCTTCCCGCGGAGTAATTACCGCGGGCCGCTTCCTTTGAGCTTACATAATTGCATTACAAAGTCGAAGCACCGCGGTACGCTTCGCGCACGCCAGCCAAACGGTATCAATCGCCTTCGTTTATTACCAAAAGCATCCTCCCTTCGTGCACTCGGTTCACCTGGAAACTTCTCCCGGAAAAGGATCACTCCACGAAAGTATCCTCATCTGTTCATGAATAAAAGACATCACAGGAACTGTGAACCATTACCGAATATAAATCAGCGCCAGCCCTCGCCAACCCCCTAACACTTAAAGCGTTCCATGAAAATGAACCTCTGAATCCTCGAATCAAAAGCCAATCCAAAGGAACCCAGAAAAACGATCGAACAATAGGAGAAAACTCACTTCTTCCCAGCAAATTGAGCCCCCAACCCCCAAGAAACACCCGAACAATCCCAACAAACCCGCTCGAGTAGCCCCCGAAAGCCCCCGAGCGCAGGAAATACATACTCGTCCCGTCGACGATTGTCTCCGACGAAAGGGCTCCGGAATTTCGTCGGAAAAAATCGATCCCGAAATGTAGGCGCGCGGCGTACGTCGCGTCGCGTCGCGTCGCCGCGTTTTCAGGCCGCCGCTGGAGGGTGGTGGCGGCGGCGGCGAGCGGG